ATCGAAGGCTTTTTTGAAGTCAGGATATATGACATCAATCTCTTCTCCCTTGTCCAGGTGATAGGTCACCTGGTCGTAGAAGGAAATGAGATTGGTCAAGCAAGACCTACCCGCAACAAACCCGTGCTGGCTATCCCTTAAGATGTTGGCGTTGGCCAGTCCATTAAGGATGGCCTCTTTAATAAACTTTTCTAAGATCTTCCCCGGGATAGAAGTCAGGCTGATGGGCCTATAGTTAGCCGGATCCACTTTCCTCCCTTTCTTGAAGATAGGCACCACATTGGCCTTCTTCCAGTCTTTGGGCACTATACCAGAGCTCCAAGAGTTTTCAAAGATCCGTGCTAGAGTCTGGGCTATGATGCTCGCCAGCTCCTTGAGTACCCTGGGGTGAAGATTGTCAGGGCCGGCTGATTTGAAGGTATCCAGCTTCTCAAGATGTTCCTTCACAAAGTCAGCATTAATGGAGGGCAGGGGATCACCCTTTCCCGGATGGGCATGGGATGGCAAGATGACAATGCTGGGAGGATGATGGGGCTGTGCGGTCGGGGAGAGCCCTTGCTGTAGGATGCCTGCCTCATGCACTGCAGAAACTGGAAAGTGAGCAGTGAATGAGGGTGAGTATTGCAGAGGGAAAGGTCTAAGGTAGCTGAATGTGGCCTTGGAGAACTGGGGTAAGTCCTAGCAGACTGTGGAGTGGACGCCTACATGGTCAGGTGGGTGGCCAACTGGCTTAGGGACCGCACCCAGAGAATGGTGGTGGATGGTTCCTTCTTGGCCTGGAGGGAGGTGGGCAGTGGGGTCCCACAGGGTTCGGTCCTTGGACCGGTATTATTTAATATCTTCATCACCAATTTGGACAAGGATGAGGAGAGCACCCTCTCCAAGTTCACTGATGATACCAAGATATGGGGCAAAGTTAGTACACCGGAGGGCAGGGAGCAGATTCAGGCTGACCTGGATGGGTTGGACCAATGGGCAGAGAGAATTGGATGCAATTTAATAAAGGTAAATGTAAGGTACTCCACCTGGGAAGGAGGAACCCCCAGCACACCTATGGGTTGGGGAGTGTCCTTCTCAGCAGTTCTGGGCAGAGAGGGATCTGGGAGTCATAATTGACTCCAAGATGAACATGAGCCGGCAGTGTAACGAGGCCATCAACCAGGCCAATCGCACCTTTGCGATTAATAGGTGCATGATTAATAGATCAAAGGAGGTGATGCTTCCCCTCTATGCGGCACTGGTCAGGCCGCAGTTGGAGTACTGTGTCCAGTTTTGAGTGCCACGCTTCAAGAGGGGCACGGGGAATCTGGAGAGGGTCCAGAGGAGGGCCACTGACAAGATTAGTGACCTTTGGGCAAGACCCTACAGGGGGAGGTTGAGAGAGCTGAATCTCTTCAGCCTTCACAAGAGACGGCTGAGGGGAGATCTTGTGGCCACCTATAAATTTATTAGGGGAGGTGAACGAGGAATAAATGATGCACTGTTTACTAGGGCACCCCAGGGAGTGATGAGGAATAATGGGTGTAAACTAGTTGAGAGTGGATTTAGGTTAGGTATTAGGAAGACATTTTTCACTGTAAGGGTGGCCAGGATGTGGAATGAGCTTCCAAGAGAGGTGGTGCTATCACCTAGCTTGGAGGTCTTCAAGAAGAGGCTAGATAGTCACCTGGCTGGAGTCAGATGACCTCGGTCCTCTTTTGTGCCAGGGGCAGGGGGTCGGACACGATGATCCATTGTGGTCCCTTCCGACTCTACAGTCTATGAATATATGAATCTATGAATCTTCTGTTCCTGTCCCGTGCTGTGCAAAGCCACAAACCTGCTTTTCAGACATGCGCCTCCTTCTTCTGGGGGCTCTGTTTAAAACCCTGGAGGTCTGAGCATAGGCAGACTAAGGCCTGGGCCAGGTGGGCAGTAGCCCGGGTGCCCTTCAGCAAATGGGGGCCCCAGGAGGGAGCGTCAGGCAGTGTGGGCAGCATGTTCCTGACTAGGAACCTGCCCTTCTGGCCAGCCGGCCAGCAGAAAGCAGGAAGCAGAGAAGCCCAGCAGACCTCCACAGCCCAGTTACTGCATGGAGGAAAGTTTGTGGAAAGGAAAAGGTGGGGTTTGGGTGGGGGGCAAATTGAAGCCCCCATGATAAGGGAGGGGCCTAGGGCTAGGGCAGCACATCTGGGGCAGGGAGGAGGGTGGAGGTGCCAGCAGGCAGCTTGTCCAGGGGACCAGTGGTGGTAGAAGGGGCAACTCCATGTTGCTTCATGCACTCCAGGTCAGGGGAAGTATGGGGGGGCATGTGCCCCCATAATTTGTGCATGGGGCAAAGGCAGGTTGCACAGCATTTGCTTGGGTCTGTGCCCACTGCCTTTGCTTGGGCCCTGGGTCCCCTCCCTGTCCTGCCTAGCAAGGTGCAGGCCCCCCTGTGCAGAGAGACCCCCAAAAATACTAGTCCAAGCAGTTGGACAAATTATTTTAAAAGCTCTATATCTGGAGCTAGGCTCCTAAATGGATGAGAGAGTCTCTGTGAAAGTGTCTCTGAGTTGTTCTGAGTTTGTCTTTGTTGTGTAGATCAGGTAGGATTCCTTCCCTGGACGTGTCCAATGGCAAGCTGGGAGGTTTAAAAAATCTTTCTTGTTCTGCAAAATTTAAAATCCAAAATCGGCTAAAATTTGGTACCTTCCATGTTTCAGGGATGTACTTGATAGCCGTGTTGGCCTGAGACAAAAAGAAATGCAAAAATCTAGAACTCTTGGTCCATACTCATGGACTCAGAGGGACAGATTTCCCATCTCCAGCTCCCTCTGTGCAAAAATGAAGTTGATTTCCTTTGTATGGGGACTTTTTACCATCTTTAATTTTTCCAGAGCCTGGTGAAGGGCCTTAGAGCCCAAAAACTTGCAGAAAATGAGATTCATTTATTTTTTGGCAGTTTCCTACTTGGTCTAATAAAAGGTATTGTTTCTGAACCAAGAGTTTTAAATTTTTGCATTTCATATCTGAAGCTAGGCTTCTAAGCGAACGGGGTGCTTAGCATACTTGAAAAGTCTTCAGGCCACATACTTAGATACCCAAAGCCTGTAAAGATCACATCTACCCGAAGACTCCAGCTACAGGTCAACATCCCCATTCCTCCACCTTCCTGGATCACCCAGGAAGAGCACAAAGCATCTGCAGATACCCTCTTTGCCTGAACAAGGGTGTTTGTGCCCAAAAGCTTGCAAAAAAGAATTTCTCCAACTATGTTAGTTGGTCTAATAAAAGCTAGCTTGTGGTGGTTTTACCAATCTGACTGCATTTGCTATGTACTGAGCTACAAGGAATGGAGCATGGCTCCTGGCCAGTTTAATCTTTCAGGATGGCTTATCCCAGAAGCCACTATGCAAGAATGCCAGTCAATGAAAAGGTGTCCAGGTTCTAGCCATATTGGTCTAGCAGAAAAGGCAATCAGGACTCATAGCAGAGATATCTTTTATTAGACCAACAAGATTTTTGCAAAAAAAAGTTTCTCAGGTCTCTTGTGAGGCTTTGTTAAGATGCAAATTACCTTGTTCCAGGTGGTCACAGGTGGTCACAGTTGCTTCCTGCAATGGGTGAGAAACAGGTAGGGGTGGAAGGAGGGGACTGGTGGCCTGTAGCTGCAGGCTGGGTAGATGTGATATCTTTTATTAGACCCACGGAATAGTTGCAAAAGTTTTTATTTGCAAGCTTTTGGACACCCACATCCTCTCTCAGGCAAAAAAAAAGAAATAAAAAATGGTGTGAGATTTTTCCTCTCAAAGCTTGGAGGAAACCAATCCTTTAAAAGTTAAGACATCCATTTTCATGACATTTTATGTTTTGGGGTTTTTTTAAACATCTTGATGTCATTTTGTGATGGTAGCATTAAACACAGGTGTAATGGGTATATAAAAGAGGCAGATTTACAGTATATGGAGTTTAGCACATGTTTAATGTTTCAGGGATCATTAAAATTTGAGTTGCATTGTGTAGGCTGACTGTCTTATTTTAATCGCAAGAATCACTAATGGTATTCTTAGACTCGTGCTCGAGGCTATCGGTATGGCCTGTATTTTTCTTGTAGTAGTTTACTGTAGTGTGGGTACGATGTAAAATGTGTATTAAAAAAAAGAACAAACAGTGAAACAAGAGTCTGCATGACCGCTAAACTAAAACGTCATTCCTTTCATGGTGGTATACATTTACGGTGACCCCATGCATCTGAGTAATTTTCCTAAGGCAGTTGTCGTATTTGGTTTTGTGTGTGGCAAAACTGAGTAGTTCATTTTGACATTGCGTGTTGCGCTTTATTTATTAATGCACCGTGTAAACATTTAATGGCTCTATTATTAATGCCTTTTGATAATTCATGTTTGTAATGGTGTGGGGGCCTCCAATTTTCCGTTTGCCCAGGGCCCCAATGAATCTAAATCCGCCTCTGGGTCTGAGGTGCACAAATGTTGAGCCCTTACAGCAACAACTCGGACCGATGGGAGCTGCGCGCCCCGGATCAGGGCAGCCAAGAACTCCCCGGGTCCCAGGGAAGTCAGAAGCTGCAGCTCTGCAGCTCGTGAGCTGTTCCTGGCACCCAAGCGAACTCGATGCAAGCCATCTCGGGCATCTACACATGCTGCCATTACCTCTGACTGCAGTGGAAGAACCAGAGCACCTTGGGGCTCTGCGGGCTAAAGTCACCTCTGAGCCGGCGATGAATTCTCTTCAGTGAGTTGTGTCCATGTCTGTGCAGGGGATGCAGCAATCCTCGCAGACAGGGCTGGAGCCTCATGGGCTGCTCTGCTGCTGTGGCTTCTGCCTCACCTTTGTGTATTTTGTGCTGGTTTTCCTACAGAAAACCCTTAATGAGAGCAAACCTGCTTGGGAAGGGTTTACTTCAGCCACCTAGTCTAAATAGTAGCGCAGCTTTTTAAATACCAGGCACTTGAAAAGCCCCAGTGCTCTCTCAGGTGCTTTATGCCCTAGTTCTTGTTAACAGGAAACCAGATTATTCTTGTTCAGATAGACTTAGAGGTACTGACCCTGCCCACTAGAGACCAAGCACCCTACAAAGAGCTACATCCATTTCTCCTACGATACCAAGCATAAGACAGAGAGCGCAAGGCCCCACTCCAGCAGGAGAAAGCAACCCCAAAGAAGCAAGAGAGTGACAGTTTTGAGGCCAAGTGTACACCTGCTTTTGAAGAGCACTTGGGCTCCCAGCCAGTAAAACAGGTGGACTGAGCTGTTCAGAGGTGTGGTACCCCTGCGTGCCTGGGCATGGAAGAGAAATCCCTTCTGGCCTACTCTGTTCATCTGTAAGGGGAGAGTCCTTTCAGCATGCAGTCCTCCATGCATCGGGCTGGGGCTCTCATTGCCTTCACACCCCTCTGTATTCCTGGCATCCCTTCCTGGCCCCTCATTGCCCTGCTCCCCCCCCGGCCCTGTGCAGGTGGCCAATGAGGCCGGAAGTGCCCTACAAGTGTGCAAAGCTGGAGTGTCGGAGACAATAATATGGGCTGCCACAGCTCTGGGGTTACAGATTGCCTTGGGCGCAGGCAGTCGCATCACAGTATTAATGACAACACCCTGCTGCCTTTCAGTGCTTTGCAACCTTTTAATGCCATCAAAAGCCCCCCGTGCAATTCCAACACCAGTGATTTTGGATCCAATAAGTGGTTTAGGACCCGTACAATTCCTGCTCTGGCAGTTCAAGTAAATCCCATCTGAAGTAAAGTGAGCTTTTTGTTGTGCTTTCATATATAACGGCATGTTATCGAAACCAGCACAAGCAGGTATCAGCAGTGCTCTGTCTCCGTTCCAGCTTTCCCCTTGCAGCGGCATGAGACGAGCAGCACAGCTGTAACAAGAAGCCCTTTCTTACCTGCATCCAGCCCCGCCATTTTGTGCATTTCTTTTTCCTTCTGAATATTGGCGGAGATCTCGCACACTCACTGCATGGGTGTGACAAGGCTTGGAGCAAGTCAGAAAGCTGATGTGGCTTTCTGTAGGAGAAACCTAGAAACTATATCTTCATCTCAATTAAGCTCAGTGGCAGTAAAGAAAACAAAAGAACTAAAATATCCGCTTCAAAGACTGTAAAAATATCCTGGTGCTAACCCAACTCACTTACTGTCCCCAGTAGCCTTTGATCCTCACTATCTCACAGTGCATTTTTATGTATTTCTCACAGTGCATTTTTGTATTTCATCTGTCTCATCTTTACCCTGGAATTCAATATTTTATATTTTATACCTTTTAACTTTTAACAAATGTATTTTTCTTTAAAGTAAAGTCATACCTTGTATTACAGTCAGGCTCTGGGAGTGGTGAGAGGCACCTGGGTGAAAGCCCATTGCACCCCCGCTCCCCCGAAGACCCCCAGTGGCCCCTAGCAGGTGCGGAGCACCCTGCCGACCCCCAGCACAGGTAAACGGGGCCCGTGGTGGGAGGGGGTTAGCCCCAGGCAGTGGGAGGAGGTGGCTGAGTGGGGCCATGGAGGGTCACGCCTGCCTGGCCCCTACTTCGCCCAGCCCCGCAGGGAGCCGTGCGACCAGAGCCTTATGAACAGGCCATGCAAACAGGCACACTTGTCTGCCCAGCGTGTGAGTTAGCGCAGAGTTTGGGCAGGAGGGTGAACAGGAAAGCCCGAGACCCTGCCTGTGCACCCCCGCCCGAGGGAAGCCAGTCCCAGCCATAGCCGGCCCACCAGCAGCATGCCGTGGATGGGCACGCACTGCACCCCAAGGGTCCCTTCAGGGCCTGCGGTCACCCCCTCTGGCACCTCAGAGGCCTCCACCCAGGCGAAGCCCATGGTTCCAGGATCATAGATTTCATAGACATTAGGGCTGGAAGGGACCTAGGAAGGGACCTCAAGTCCAGCCCCCTGCCTCAGGGGCAGAAGTCAGCTGGTGTCTTAGGATCCCAGCAAGATAAGCATCCAATTTCCTCTTGAAGGTGTTCAATGTAGGTGCTTGAACCACCTCCGGTGGCAGGCTGTTCCAGACCTTGGGGGCTCGGACAGTAAAGAAAGTCTTCCTTATGTCCAGCCTGAAATGGTCTTGCAGCAGTTTATAACCGTTCAACCTCGTCATCCCTTGGGGCGCTCTGGTGAGCAAACGTTCCCCCAGATCCTGGTGGTCACCCCTGATAAACTTATAGGTGGCCATCAGATCACCCCTGAGCCTGCGCTTTTCCATGCTAAAGAGTCCCATAGCTCTCAGCCTCTCATTGTAAGGTCTGTTTTCCTGACCTCTGATCATGCGCGTGGCTTTTCTCTGGACTCTCTCAAGCTTCTCCACTTCCTTCTTGAATTGTGGGGCCCAAAACTGGATGCAGTACTCCAGCTGCGGCCTCACCAAGGCTGGGTACAAGGGGAGAATGATGTCCCAGGATTTGCTTGAGAAGCATCTATGGATGCAAGCCAACGTTTTGGTCGCTTTACTA